GTTTAATTTTGAACAGTTGTGTTAAGTTATTAAATAATTATTATAATTAGAACATTAAAAACAACAATTAATTTTGTAGCCTCCAACAGGGAAAGAAAGACAGAGAAAGGGATATATATATATATATATATATATATATATATATATATATATATATATAGCTGCCTGGATTTAAATTGCAAGCAGAATAAGGAAACAGTATTGATGTTTTTCATATCGAAGGCTACAAACAAAATACAAAAGATATAATTATCAATTTGTGTATCTTAAACTAATATTCCAAGATGCATCAAATTCTAGCAATGTATGCAATCTTTTAAAAGCTACCTCCCATGACTTTGCAAAATATTGCATTCTTAAGCAATGCTTTCAATGTAACAGCCAAAGAGATCAATTTTTCTTTTTTTTAACAAATTACCCAAAAATCTAATGCAGAGAGAGAAAAGCAAGTCTCTACACCAAGATACTGGCATTATAGCTCATGCAATATTTGAAGCAAAAAAAGGTTTTAAACAATTTTATTTTTAATTGTTTAAATCAATAAAATGCATATAAATGTGTGGCAAATCTAATTTGTAATCCTCAGTAGAAAAGAAAAAAATTTAAATATTTACCAAATAATATGAAATATATATAAAGTAAGAAAATTAAATTTACATTTTAAATGATATAGATTATCAGATTATTTACATTCACTTATTTTCAACTATCAGTTAGTACTGTGGGACAGTATCATAGCATTAATACCATGCAATTTTCAAATACTTCATTTAAAATATTACAGATATATCATTTAGTTTTAATTTTTTTTTCTTTGTATACTCTCTAGGAGTGTTTCTCAACCGGGGTCTACTGTAATATTTTAGTGATCCATAGAGCAATTTTACTTCAGAATGGTTGTTAAAACTGAGAACTGAAATTTCGACAGTAATTTAAATCATATTAAAATACTAAAACTAGAAAAACAACTAAAGTTAGCAGAAAAGGAGATCAATTGATGTAAGTTGGTGTCCATTTTACTCTGCTGGATGTTTTGATTGTAAGAGTTGAATAAAAACTGAGAAGGATATATAAAGGAAGGAATATATATTATATATATATATATATATATATATATATATATATATATATATATATATATATATATATAAATAAAAATAATCGACTCTCCCTGTCGAGATTTGACGTATGAGGGTCAAGCAGATCAGTTTCCAGAAACCGACAACCCGACACTGGCACATGAGATTTGATTATAGTGGTGAAGGCCTTGTGCAGGACCATCCACACTTTTTGAAGGACGAATACAGAGACCTGGTGCACTGAATGCCTAGGGTTCCCAAACGACCCTCCACAGGTTTTGAATTCAGAGTTGTCCTTCTCTTAGACCAGTTGCCATCCAAGGCTATAGAACCCAGTCTGTCCTGCTATTTTACCCATATCTGGAGGGAGAGGAAGAGGATTCATACCTTTCCCAAGGGTATTAGCACATAAGTGAATGTAATGGATTCGACTGGAATTTGAACTCTGCTCTGCGATTCCTCAATCCAAGCCACTATCCATTACTCCACCGTGCATATATATATATATATATATATATATATGTGTGTGCGTGTGTGTATATGTGTATATATAAATAAAGGAAAATTATATAAATTAATTATATTAATAATAAATAATATCAATTTTAAATATTAATAAAATAAAATGTTAATATATTAATATAAATTAATTAATATAGTAATAAACTCAACATTGTGAAAAGGGGTGATCTTCGACTATCTTTGACATTGAGAGAGTCAAACAAACAACTTGCAGAGCTGTATCAACCACAGGAATCTCATTGAATAAATCTGCACTTTTTTTTAATCTATTAATTGCTAACATACTTTAAAATGGTTTATTATGAATTATTTTAATACTGTACATAAATGTTCCATAGAATTTAGTTGTTAAATACAAGTTTATTTTTATTAAATTAGTTTTACTTCAAAATAAAGCATATACATTTACTATTTCTATGATTAATACAATCCCTAAACCTCTCTATTAGTAAATAAATAAAATAAGCTTTTATTCATCTAATGGTTAGGGGGGGGGGGGGCTACCCAAAAAAAAAAAATAAGAGTAAAAGTGGTCCATGGGTAAAAAAAAGTTGAGAATTACTGGTTTAGAGTATTTTTTCTGGTTTTTATAGGATAATTGAAAATAAACAAATCAAAAGGTTTTATTTTAAAAAATAATAAAAGCGCTAATATGCCAAAAAAAAAAAAGCTTCATTTTATAAAAATAAAACCGTTTTTACTTACACAAATATTATGGCTAAAACCAGAAACTCCTTGTTTACTTGACAGATAGTTTTTTGGATACTATTTGACTAATCAAGAAAAACTGATTTGCCATTTAAGGAAAAACATTTTGAGGGGATGTTCAGATACTCCACAATATAAACAGTTAACAATGAATTGGGATTATATTCACTTATTCTTAAAGCTTCATTTTT